CTCTAGACGAAAAAATTTTCTGAAAAACTTATAGTTTTCGTAATTGAATATTAATGAAAATATCTATCAAAAATACGTGTCGCGTTAATTTTGTCCTTGGTAGTATGTTTGTTTTCTTATTAATTAAATTTCATTTGAAATAGTATTAGATACGCTTTAATTCTACAACCCGAATCCATGTGTGTGCAAATTAACATTGTTTTGTTATACTTGTGAAAAATAGTTTATTTCGTTTTATTCTAATTGATCATGACAGCAAAATAGTTATTCATAGAGTAACGATCAAAAATACTTGATAATATTGTTATCTTATTATTTCCTCTTACTTCTTTACAGAGTATAGATAATAATATACAATATATGTTGAATAGATGTGATAAATTAACATCTTATTAAAATGCAATATCGTATGATCACTGTCATCTTGTGAGTGAAATTTAGTCTTCAATTTTATAATATCATTGATAAAGAAAATGTATGCTGTTTACGAGAATTGTTTGATTCTTGTTTATGTCTAGTCGTAAATTATTAAAAATTTTATAATGCATATTATTAAAAGAATTGAATTGTCCATTTTCATGATACACATGGTCAAAGAAAAATAGTTAATGAAATCTGAGAAAATAAAAAAAGATTTAAATGGTGCTGAAAAATTTTGATTATGTTAATCGTAATATGATGATAAAGTACATAAAAACTTTTCTCCAAACCATACTGTTTCATTAAACATATAGGTTTTCTGTTAAAAGAAAATATTATTGATTGTAAGAGTGTTTTCTAATTCCATGCACAGATTCATATGTAACTTTATTAAAATAGTAACAGCATAACCTCTTATTAATAGTAGAAATAAAATTTATACTTTCTTATATGTATATTATTGTCATATACAAATTCTCTATTATTTTTAAATACAATATTGTGAAGTTTAATAAAATTATGAGAAAAGGTGATCTTTTTTTAAACTGATCTTTGATATATGATACTCTTCTTTGTTTTAAAATAGTTGCTCCGGAAAAAAATTGAATTTTTAAGAAAAATAATTCTGATAATTTGTTTTTGAATCAATCGTTTCAATAGTGCTGGTATTCTATATAAATATGAGTCAGTCAGAAACATTATATATGCTATGGTGTTGCGATGATTATTAATTTTTATGTTATGCCCATAGGATTTTAAAACTATTGAAATTACTAATGTTCAGACACTTTTCTTAAGAAATATAATATAGACGTGCTATTAATATAGTTTCACTGGAAATACCTAACTTGATAGTTACTTCTGTAAAAAATAATTTATCGACAAAAATTTCATTTAGTAGTAAAAAATATCTTTTATACTTTTAATATAAATTATTTGTTAAACCGAAATATGATTATTCATATGTTATTTTTACATGATACACATTTACCACGATGACATTTACTGCAACATTTTATAGATTGTTTTTTACATGGACATCGTTTTGTGTCACATGGACCTGTGCATTTACAAGAATTGATAGCTTTGAATTCTGTAAAAATTTGACATGCTTGAATAAAACTAATATTTGGTATACTATTATGGTCCAATTGTCGTAATTCAGCTGAAATAGTTTCAGATAAATCGATGAAATCTGTTGATGAAAATAAATCAGTTATTATTCCATCTACTGTTGCTAGTTTATATAATGTATTTAAAGATTCTTCTTTTCTTATGACTTCAATAATTTTACAAGGCAATATTGACGGAGCAGTATTTGACCGATCAACTTCGGCCATTTTCAAGCCCACTATATCATTGATTTGATACACCTTTTGTTTTTTTAAGCGCCGTTGATAATTTTTTAACTGACGTTCCATTATTAATAATGACTATGTTTAAATAGCTATAACGTTTTTCAATCAGGTCACACAAAAAAAGTTTTGTGCAAACGAGGAAAAATATATAGACTTTTACTCATTACAACTAACCTGCTGTACGAATGTAGTTTTGTTCAGCTTCATCACGAATACGTTTATGTGAATCATGATTACTACTAATAATATTAAAAAAAACATCATACAATTATAAACAATAAAAAATAGAATATTTTAACTCTTTTGATTCAAATTTATTAATATCTGATGAAAATACCAATGGTTTTGAGAAGTTAGCATCACACAAGCAATCATCTTCAATGAGCTAAAAAACAGATTAATATTCATTCTCATAAACATTTTACTGTTATAGGGAAAAAACAATATTTTTATACTTATTTAATAATATCGATGAATATTTTCATCGACTTTTAAACATTATTATTTATTTTATATTAAATCATATAGTGATAGATTCTCTATCCAAACTGCTTTTTTATATTGACAATTTCAAAAAGCATTAAAATAATGTTGCTTTTATAGTAGAAATCGCATTTTTACTCATTCTTTTAACATCATATTATGAAACACCGTGTTAATACTACTTCGTTTCCCTCTCATTATCATCATATATAGCAGACGACAAAATTATTATACATACTTCTTCATTAGCAGAATTTAAGTCATCCATTATTGATGTTGGTAACTCTTCTTCATTAATAATTGATTTATTATTCATTTGTTGATGAATTTGTAACCAAAAATCATGATCACTACGTACACGTTGTCCAAATACCATTTCATATGGTGTTTTCTTTGTACTTTGAGATCTACAGCTGCTTATAGCAAGCATGACAGGACCTGTTAAAAAGTTGAAGAAATAAGAATTGTTATATCAATTACATAGAGATGCTATAATTTATTTTTAAATACCTAAACCACTAGGCCAATCACGAGATTCATTTGTTTCTAACCATTTGCCTAACATTTTCTGTACAAAACCATTCGCCCTTTCAACAAGGCCCTGACTCTGTGGGTGTCTTGGACGCCCATTGATAATTATCAAGTCAGGCCAATCCAATTTAAGGTTCAGAATAATATTTGCCCTATTAAACATGAAGTTTTACATTATTTAATGACATTTTTTTATATGAATCATAGCATAAAGTTCTTTTCAATCTTTTTTCGAGTTTTCATTATTTTTCTTATCATTTTTTTCTTGATATTTCTCAGAATTGTTTTGATTTCTTAAATTGAAAAATATAGACAACAATTTTCTCTAGTTTTTTTAGAAACCGATAATGTTTACATATATGAAAAGTAGTGGTTTATTTGAAAACTTTTCAAACCACTACATATTTCCACATATAAATATTCTCTATAAAATTTAATAATCAGCGATATAGAATTGATATCAAACGACAAATTATGTATTCAAATAAATAGCAATAATAGAGAAAACAACTGAAATATAAATTGCGATGCTTTTTCCCACAGCTCTGCTCTCTTTTAGTAACAATATTAACTATAACATACGTCCTACATTTTATCACTTGTAACTCTTACATTATATTATATATAGATAAGTTTTGTAATTTTTTTTTCTTTTCTTTTATAAGGCTAAAGTATTGTTTTAATAAATTTCAAAAATCGTTTCTTTAAGCATTATCGTAATCAAATTTATAAAGCGCTAGTTACAAATGCTTTTAACAGTGTTTCTATGGCTTATTATGAAATTTAGTTTCAAATCATAGCAAGCACTTTTTAAATAGTTTTAATCTCTTATACTGATATCTAAAGTGTAAACACTTCATATTTTATCCGCCTATTCAAGTTTCAAATAACAGTCCCAGTTCATCCTTAAACTAGATTAACGATCAGACAAAAAAATGGAAAAAAATAGTGTTGAAAAATGTAATTAAAATTAGGAGAATTTTTATTTAATTCTTAGTATTGTCTTTGAGAAAGTATTTTGCTAATGCTAGGTCTATTTGTTCTTTGATTATACTAATGCAGTCAAGATACGTATAGTATTAATGGTCCATTATTTTATACGAGTTTTGATAAAGATTTCCAACAAATTAGTATAACTCAATATAAAGAAATCTCAAAGGTACTTTTAGTCAATATTAATACTATCCTTCTTTGTGTAACATTTTTTAGTGTAGTTCTTACACAAACTCTTTTCCATTATCTGATTGTAAAATTTTTGGTGGCCCAAATGTATAAAATATATTTTTTAAATTAAGAGCAACGTGTCGTGCTTCTTTGGATGGCAATGAAAACAACCAACTAAACTTTGTAAAATGATCTTTGATATGCATTATAAAATTGAACCCATTGTATGATACACTTCTCATATCGATCAAGTCAACTTGTAATCTTGTTAGAAAACCTATAGAAATAATTGATTTTCCAGTAGGTGTTTTTAGGAAAGATCTTCTTGTCTGGCAAATATCGCACATATCTATAAATAATGACACTACTGGCTGAGGTATGCCAGAAAATCGACTTTTTACCTATGTAACGTATTATTATTATTTAGTTGTAAAATAATAAGTATAAAAACCTCAGCCCATGTTTTATCTCGTCCAGAACGACCGACTGCTATATGACATTCATTTATTTTTTCATAAGTAATTAATGGTAAATTATTTTTTATATTACACACCACATGTGACGAACCAATTTCCACAAGTCGAAAACTTCTTCGAACCCGAATTTGAATTTTGCTGATATATTTACATCTTCTGCTTTACGAACGTTTATAGTATCTAAATACATTGCATTTTTTATTGTATACTTGTTTCGTTTTTTAATATCGAGTTTATTGATATATGAATCGAATCTTTCATAAAAGATATTCATTTTGATGAATAGATCTCTTAGAGAAAAATAAACTTAATTAAATAATGAAAACATTCGACACAAATAGCGTTTATTTGCTAAGCACTTCATAGCAACGAGTATCGAACACAAACATAAACAGATGAATCAAAAATATCAATGGGAAATTTTTGCAAAAATTATCCAGTTATATTTAGTAAGCGTGTGTAGATTGTAGTTGCTGTTTGAGTTTCGAAATCATCAATAGTTTAGAATTTAGGTGATTCGAATACGTATCGTTTTATGGAAAAATTTATATCATTTTGGACCTTTGTAGCTAACCACGTGCAAACGGATGAAGACCGACAACTGGATGAATACAACGAAACAGAGGAACACAGTGAGACGGATGAGGACGAGCAGATATACCAAGGTGGTAAATCGGATGAAGACGATGGAGCCGAAAAAGACCAGAACACGGATGAAGAAAGCGAGACAGATGGAGAGAGTGAGACGGATGGAGACGACGAAGCCGAAAAAGACCAGGAAACGGATGAAGAAAGCGAGACGGATGGAGAGAGTGAGACGGATGAAGACGAGCGATCGGATGGAAACAAAGGAACGGATGAAGCGGAGCAGATGGACCAAAGTGGTGAATCGGATGAAGACGACGAAACTGAGAAAGATCAGGACACGGATGAAGAGCGTAAGTTTCTTTTCCATGATTCGATGCAAAATTTATTTGTACATTCAAGGACAAACTCAAAATCTACAGAAAGGCTCAAAGACAACTATATCTCAATTCAGCGAATCAAAACATCAGAAATCATCTTTCCGCACGACCACGTAAGTAGTATATTTTGTTAGCATGGAAGAAGTTAGATTACCACTCCAATTGTTTATAACTGAATTCGTTTTCTGGTCGGTTCCACATTTTCAGTATTCTTATTGGAAAACACAGATCGCGTAGATATGAAGAGTAGGGGTGTTACTTTATTTTTATTTTCTTTATAATAAAGAATAAAGATAAAGAAAATCTTTATATGTAAAAAATAAAAATAAAGAAATTAAAAAATCTTTATTCTTTATAAAATAAAGAAAAAAGAAATCTTTATATTTATAAAATAAAGAAAAATAAAATCTTTACTTTATAAAATAAAGATAAAGAAAAAATTCTTTATCTTTATAAAATAAAAATAAAGTTTTTCTTTATTTTGAAAAATAAAGATAAAATAAAGAATAAAGAATTTTTTTCCTATCAAAACATTTTTTTTTAATTTTGTTGAAGTACCTCACAAAAAATGATTATATTATACAATTAAATATAATATGCAATAACATTTTTTGCATATATCGTTTCATGAGTGGTCCTTATTTTTGATGATATGACATACGGAAGTGATGATAGTGGTAAGAAAGGACACTAGTTAACATATTCTGTTCTTATACGGGGTATTTGCATATGTACCTATTACATGAAAAAAATATATCTCTATTCTTTATTTTAACTTTATTTTTACAAATAAAGATTATCTTTATCTTTATTTTATAAATATAAAGATTTACTTTATCTTTATTTTATAAAAAATAAAGATTTCTTTATTTCTTCATCTTTATTTTTTAAAATAAAGATTATCTTTATTCTTTATAAAATAAAGATAAAGTAAACCTTTATCTTTATTTATAAAGTAAAGGTAAAGTAACACCCCTAATTATATGCAACTTCCATGTCCGCGATCTTAAATTCCGACTGAAATGTTAACTTCTATTTGAACTTTATATGAACACAGATCATCTCAAGAAAAATTTGGAAAATAAAGTAGTTCGTTTTAAATATTCATTTCGCTTGAGGAAATTCCATTATATCGTATTGACTTCAGTTTGATTTAAAAAAGTATTTTTTTTGCACTTTTTTTAACGAATAAATGAAATTTATTCGTAGTTTTTACCGAACGATTTACTTCACTAAAAATATAATATTATATTGAAAAAAAAATACTACCATAAATAAACATATCTGAATTTTCTAAGTTAATAATTTTTCAGACATCATTCAACATAAATTCTATAGACTATTAATTTAATGCCCTGTATGTCAGATCAATTCCTGAATAGATCTTGAAAAGATCAAGAAAAATCTGCTAAGTTTTCTATAAAATTTGTCTATTTGTTTATACAAAAATTCTAGCAGGTTCCTGAATCTCAGACTTCTGCCGCGTTCGGAACAACCTAATAAAATCTGGAAAACCTCTTCATTTATGATTGTTGAGTTTTTACTCAACATTTCCAATGAACTCAAGTTGTGATCTATATATTTTAATTCTTCGACGGATCTGAATAAAAACTAGCCCAAATGTTGATGAGATCTTTTCACCCAGTCTTGTCAAGATTCTGAACAAGGTCAAGTACGAAGCTTGATAGGATCCTGAAAATTAAATTCTGAAAAGACTATAAAAACAAACCTACAAAGATCTGACGGAATCTTTGCATTTTCTCATAAAGATCCTAAGCATACTTGGATTGTTTTACAAGGTTTGGAAATGCTTATTCTTGAAGGGTTCTAAACAAGATCCTCATTGAACCTTGGCGGAATTAGTCAGTTTAGATTTCTGACTGATCTTGTCATTTTCTTGCTAAAATCCTTATTTGATGCAGGCATAAATCTTGGCAGGATCTCGATATAATTATTTGACCCAGATCTTGACACAACCTTGGTAAAATCTTGTCAGAGTTTTCTATGATAATCCTGTCAAGGTCCTTAATAGGATCGAGAGTGAATCCTACCAGGATACTGTATTCGCAATTCAGAAAAATATCTGAACAGGATCCTGTTGAACCATGGGAAATCCGGAAAACAGGTATTATTAGATTTCAAGACAAGATCTCAAATAAAAGTTGGCAAGACTTTTAAGATTGAGGACGCTGGAAGTTCTTTCAGGGCCTTTTCAACGAGTGTGCAGGATTGAGACTGGGGATCCATCGGCTTTTTGAAGATCGACTGAAAATGTTAACTTAATTTTTTTGTAGGGATTCAGTATCAGAAGAATTGGCGAAACTCAAAACGATATTTGAAGAGCGTGTAAACAAGCACCGGTTGACTAAGTCTGTCAAAAAGGTTCTTTCTAACTCAGGTAAATGAGAATGCTTCGAGGGTCCACTAAA